GCTTTGGAAGAACCTATGGGGCTGGTTCTGGACTTTCTGGGTTATCATTCTCGGGTAACACAAACGGTTTTGATGGCTCTATAGGGGAATTGTATAGAGGCAGCTCAGTTTATAGCGACTCAACGTGGCAGCAGTCAATGCCTCATCATCAGTCTTCTAATGAGTTAGACGGCTTGTCTCGCTCTTATGGCTTTGGTATTGACAATGTAGGCTCAGACCCATCTGCCAATGCCTCAGAAGGTTACCCCCAAAACTACAATGTCAGAAATAGACAAACACATAGAGGTACACTCATCGATGTCAAACTTTTTTTATTTTGCATCTCATCTGATACATTGACATTTCCAGTTGAAAAGTAATTAGACTGATTAACGTTTTCAGGTATTGAAGCATAGAAAAGTCGACGAAGAGAAGTGAGATTTGTAGATCAAGAACAGCCATTTCCGTTGCAGAGTTTGAAGAGTTGTTATTCAATATCAAGTAGAGAAAGAAGCCAACTTTCTTCATCACAGTGAGTTTCTTGTTTTTTTTTTTCGTCGTTAGCATCACAAACACAAAAAAAAAAAGAGAAGTTTTTTTTTTTTACTTTTAAAATTCTTACATAAGATAAGATCAGATTGGTAGCTGCAAAGATACAACATGGATGATAAAAAGACTTGGTTTCAGCGTTTCGTCTCCATAGCAATAACCAGAGATCGTTGATTCTCGATCACTATTCTTTAGGTTTCTCTTCTTCTTCTTCCAAGATTCTTGATGTTGTGTGCTCTGTTTGTAACTCTAATTGTGAAATTTTTTATCTTACAGATATTTTTTTGGTTTTTTAAACTTTCGATTCGAATTGTTCATGGGAACTTTTGGATTTTCTATTAGCGTGAGAGAAAACATTGTGCAAAAGGCTCCAAAATGATTATTTTGTTGCATTTGATATTTTTATTGCCTTCGGTTATCTTTTCTCTTCTGCTTATATAACATGTTTGTTTAAGTACATGTGGTTTGATTTATGATATTAAGGTAAAAAAAAAGTAAACAAGCTTATCTTCCAAATTTGATTAGGAAATAACAGAAAAAACTATACATTGGATTTGTTACCTAAGAATTTGAGAAAGCCTGAATCATTGGATCCTTTGACACAACCAAGAAACATTGGGGTCCAGGAAGTGACTTTTTTTTTTTTTTCTTTTTTTTTCAGCAAAAACAAACTTTCATTGATTTAAAAGAGTTATTACAAAGACAGTTACAGAATTACTAGAACACAATTATTGCATATGCAAATGTATGTACCATACACTGAGAAAAATACGGCAGAAGGGAGATTGACGATGCTTTCCGAAGAGTAGTCTTACTCGCTAACCGATCATAAGATCCGTTATTGTCTAACTTCATATTTGATTTCTCTCTGTTACGATTAGCATGCAACAACTTGTGGCTGAACTTTCTTTTTACAAATCGTAGCTTTAACCAGGAAGTGACAATCACACAAGATCATTACACAAATAATTAACCAATCTTTAACCATGGAACATTGTGATTAAGAGCTACAACATCAGTTGAACTTGTACATTTTATAGAAGCTAATGGTGCTTTGGGCCCCACTAAGTAAATTTCCAGCCTAAGCAACATCTTCAATAATGATTTTTTATTTATTTTGTATATTTCCTTTTAAAAATGTTAAAACAAAAAGACAATAAAAGCTAAAAGTCCCAACGGTCGAATCGAAATTCAGACATTTCAAAAAGCCGCTCTCGATCTCCTTCTTCTTACAAAACACTTTTCAGATCTCTCTTGCTCTCTCACTCACTATCTTTGAAAAACAATGAAGTCTCCAGGGATCTTAAGCGAGAGCAGGTTCTTAGGCAGCATTACAAGTTCTTCCATCAGAAATTTGCTTCCAAAATCCATCTCAACGAAGCAGAAACCAATCCAAAACCCAGAAAATAAGATTCCCAGATCCAACGATGAGAACGCGATTCCTGTAGATCCAAACAAACATCCCGCTGCTCTTCACTTCACGAAGCAATCTGACACCAAGGATGGTGAAACCCTAACAAATTTCCGAGAGCTTGATGAGGTACACTTCGATAACTCAAAAACCTTCTAAATTTTGCTTTATAGTTGCTTAAGCTTGTATGCTCTGTGGTAGTATCAGATTAGATTTCCACTGATTACAGAGAGACCCTTTGGGAAACTTTTAACAGGTCAATAAAATGGGACAAAACAATTTTGCTGGAGACAAGCAAAGTCCTGCGAAATCACCATTGAGGGTTGAATCCAGGAGTGTACTTTCTAAAAGAACCAATTCAATGCCTAGTGAAATTACAGAGGAAGAGGACGATCCATTGGGTGAACAGATTCGAGAACTTAAGGTCTTGTTTTGGTTACTGTCATATAGCTGCAAGTATCATTTATTACATGTTTGATGTGAGTTTGTTGTATATACTCACATTATTTTGTAATTTGGTTGGTTACAGGAAGAACTCATAAGAACAAAGTCTGATGGGTACAAACCTGATGGAAGTAAGAGTGGACACTTTGCACGGGACAGTTTGAGTCAATTGAGGGTCAGTATCAGCAAATCTTTACTCATGTCGAGTCCAAAAAGAGATGAATCTGAAGGGAAAGAGATGAATGTGGATCGTGATAATGATGGTGAAGATGTGCTGGAATTGAATAAACATATTGAGAAGTTGCATGGTTCTTATGATTCTGTTCACTCCTCATTTGCAAGTGCTTCATGCTATGAAGCAGACTCGATGAGTGAAGATGATGATGATGATGTCTGCTCTGAAGACTTGGACAAACCCAAGCATGGAAACCATAAAGATGCTGACTTTGTAGATGATGATCCAAGCCAGCCCGACAATGTTGGATTCGATACAGCGGGTAGTAGCATTTCAATCAGATCACAGCTTCCTACATGTATTCTAGAAGAGCCAATTTTCTCAGAATCTCCAAAGTTCAAGAATGTTCAGAAGAGTGTAGCTGCATCGACAAAGTTTTCAGCAAGTCTTAGGAATGTGTCTGAGAGCTTCAACATCGGAGACATGAAAGTCAATGAAATTAGCCCGTCTATGTCAAAGAAGCTTTCAGGTCCTACAGATTCTATAGCTGCTAGTCTTCAGAGAGGGTTGCAAATTATAGACTATCATCAAGGGAGCTCACTATCAAAAAGTTCTTCTGTTTCCTTCTCTTTTGGCCATATGGCATTGAAACCTTGCGCAGAAGTTGACAATCTTAATGCTTCAGTCCAGTCATTTAGAAAAGATAAAGCGCCAGAAGGTGGATTATCGTCCATTCTCCTATGTCTTTCATGTAGAAAGAAAGTTGACCAAGAAGCTGAAGTATGTCCACAAAACCCGAGATATTTGCCTACATTCACTATTGCTTTAATTTTGGTAATTCTGCTAGCAACTTATCTTATATTCTCTTCTATGTCAGGTAACACAAGAAGCGGGTTCAAACGAAAAACATCTCAAGAACATGTGTATGGAGCAAGCAGCTAAAATTGAGGAGCTAACTCGCCTGGTAAGAACCTTGTATGTGTTTAGTGTAAAAAAAGCTTGAATGGCAATCTAAATTGAATAAAGTGTGTTCTGGCCTTGTTTGCAGCTTAGGAAATCAGGTGATGGAACAGAGTTCATCAAAGCAACATATGAGACAAAACAAGTTAGCCAAGAGTTTGGAGAAACAAATTTGGAGGTAAGTGAAAAGGAAGCTCTTCTCAAGGAGATTGCAGACCTAAAGAGCAAGCTGCAGCCTACAAAGTCTACAGACAATCTGAGATCCTCTTTGCTACTACGATCCATTCAAATGCGCAAAAGCATTGATGTTACCAAGAATGGTGAGAACAGTGATGTTCTAGCGAAAGAAAGGGAGATGTGGACAGAAATGGAGAGTGAGTGGATATCCTTAACAGATGATCTCAGAATGGATATCGATAGCCATCGCGGTCGAGCTGAGAATCTTGAGATTGAGCTCAAGCAAGAGAGGCTAGCCACTGAAGAGTTGAATGACGCGCTCACTAGAGCTGTGCTTGGCCACAGTAGATTCATAGAGCAGTACACGGAGCTGCAGGAGAAGTACAATGAACTCGGGGAGAAGCACAGTATGATGATGGCTGGAATAACAGACGTAAAGAAAGCAGCCTCCAAAGCCGCTATGAACGGTCGCCATGGAAAGCGTTTTGCCAAAGCCTTTTCAGATGAGCTTTCTGCCATCAGAGCTGAGAAGGAGATAGAAAGAGAGTTCTTGAAGAAGGAGAACAAGAACCTAAGAACTCAGCTGCGAGATACAGCTGAAGCTGTCCAAGCTGCTGGTGAACTACTTGTCAGACTTAGAGAATCTGAACAAGCCTTACAAATCTCTGAGGTAACTAGAGACTAATCTCATAACACTCTCATTTGAAAAACTTGATTTGATTAGATTGCTCAAATTGAACTCGAACCATCATTGCAGGAACGATTCAGCGTGGTGGAAGAAGAGAAAGAGAGGCTGAAGAAACAAATGGAGCAGCTAAAGAGTAAACACAAGACAGAAATAGGGACAATGAAGCAATACTTAGCAGAGAGTAAATTACCAGGATCTGCATTGTTGCAGCCATGGTACAAAGATGAGGAAGATGAAATAGAACAAGTATCAGAACATGGAACCGGAGCTGTCAGTTTCGATGAGTACGAGGATGATCAGGCTTGGAGAGCAGAGTTTGGAGCTACATATCAAGACCACCATTACTGATTGTTTCAGACAAAAGACCCTTCTCGGGTCATTTACTGTGATCCTCCTAAGTAGTACTCTTCTTACTTGTGTCCTGTTCTTTTATCATGTTGTTGTTCTCTTGTACTGCCATTATTGAACCGCTACAAGGATCTGTAACGGTTGGAAACATTTTTACATTTGATTGATTCATACTACTACTAGTATAAAGTATAAACAAATATAGCTCCTTTGCCATTTTGTAATGGGCTTTTTAAAAGCCCAATTCTCGGCTGCTGAAGTGAAAAACGCTGTCGTTTAGTATCGTCGTCTTCTGGGGAAAATATCTTCTTTTTTTTGACACTTCATCAATTCAACTGGAAAAAGGATATTTCCAGATTAGGTAGAGAGAGACCGAAAGTAGCTTCTTCAGGCTTCAACTTTTAGCTATGGCGACCAATGATTCTTCAAAAGCTATTGACATCAACGGGAACCTCGAATCCGATTCGAACCTTAACACTGACGGTGACGAGGCGACAGATAATGATTCCTCAAAGGCATTGGCTACTATCCCTGCTCCAGCCGTTTGTCTTTTCCGGTTTGCCGGAGATGCTGCTGGTGGCGCCGTCATGGGCTCTATCTTCGGATATGGTGCTCTTCTTCTCATTTTCTCTGATAGTGAACTGAGATTTATTATTTTCCTTCATTTAATTTGATTTTCAATACATGTTTCCTGGATTTGAGATTGAGATATCATTAGGAGACTAACCCTTGGGATTGAACATTCCTCAAGTTTGTTTGTTTTTGTTTTGCTGTAGAATCGAGTTAAGATTAGTTTTCTTCAAAGAGTGTTAATGTGGTAAGATTGGCTGCTGAAACTTTTGATTTCAGGTTCAGGATTGTTCAAGAAGAAAGGGTTTAAAGGTTCATTTGCAGATGCAGGGCAGTCTGCTAAGGTACCTCATCTTATCAGCATTCTTTAGGCTATAGCATATATATGCTTATTGTTCCAGAAAACTGAGTAATTTGCTAATTTTTTTGTTCAAGACTTTTGCTGTTTTATCTGGAGTCCACAGTTTGGTTGTTTGCCTTCTGAAGCAAATCCGAGGCAAAGATGACGGTGAGACTCTTCAGATTTCGTATATCATTAGTTTTAGATGAACTTATGATGTCTCTCTTACTTATAATTCTGCTCTTCTTTTTTGGCAGCCATTAATGTTGGAGTTGCTGGGTGCTGCACTGGTCTTGCTCTTAGTTTCCCTGGTAATCCATTATGCTCATTGTGATTTATACTTAGGTATCATGAAGATAGATCCTGCATGCAATCATCACAGAGAGGAGAGCTAATAGATTCTTTATATGGCCTCTGTTACAGGTGCTCCACAGGCTCTTCTACAGAGCTGTCTTACGTTTGGGGCATTCTCTTTTATACTTGAGGGTCTCAACAAAAGACAAACAGCTTTGGCGCACTCGGTCTCGTTGAGACACCAAACCGGACTGTTCCAAGATCATCATCGTCCTTTACCACTCTCTCTTGCTCTCCCGATCCCTGAAGAGATCAAAGGAGCCTTCTCTTCTTTCTGCAAGTCCATAGCTAAACCCAGGAAGTTCTAATTTCTCCCTTTCTTGTGTCTTAGGTTCTCTCTCTCTAGACTTTTGCTGTACTTTGTGAGGAATGTTTATGAAAGGCTTTTTTGCAAGAAGCCAATTTGGCGACAAAAAGACACGTGTACTACTTTTAAAAAATCAGTTACATATTTTGTACTTGTTCTGTATGTCACGGTCTTAATTTCGCTACAATTTTTAAGATGTGACATACATGATTGACGCAACGATGGGATTGGCCCTGAGATTATCTTGAGGATTGTGAAATGTAAGAAACGTGTTCAGCTCATTGATAAACTTTAAAGATACGATTTGTATGTAAATATTTGGATTAAAGCATATCCTCAATAAAGTTCTTCCGATTAAACTTGAACTCTCAAAATCCAGAGATTACAGAAATTCAGAAAGTTGAAAAACAAATGAAAGATGAGATGAGATCCTCAGCATTCCTTCGGATATATCTCTCCACACGACTAATCCTCCACTTGATTCAACATGCCATTCTTCCTTGATCCCTCATCTTATTTATAAACTCTAGCGTCTAACAAACTCTTAACCCTTCGCACGTGTGCTACAGCTTCCTTACTCTTCTTTCTCCTAAAATAGACCCTGTGTAACTTATCAATAATACCCATGCAGCTTGTCTCCAAGCGCAAAGGAAGGAAATTGTGCCACCAATTCTTTGATGATGACCCAAAGAGACTTAAGCATTTCCTTGCACACAGAAGAAACCTTGTCACCAAGACACTGTTAGAATTTCTCCTGCTCCATCATTGTAATGTGCAAGTGACCTGTTGTCCTCTAAAACCCCAGCTTTTCCACTTAACATCTGTCTGTGTGCTGGAATCTGGATCGTTAAACCTATTCTCATCTTCAAACTTGCCACTTTATCTGATAACGACAGCTCTCCCATATTTCCGATTTCAAAGACTCCACCATAGTCGTCTGCACCAGAAACCCTGATCATGATCCAATAGGGACCCTGAAAATGTATTACTCCTAGTTAGATACACGAGTCAAGTCACAAGGAAGGAAACAAAAAAAAAAAAAACATTACCGGATTTTGAGCAAGAAACTGGTCCTCTGGAACAAGAGCGTCAAACTTTCGTCTCTTTGCCTCTCGTTCCCCGGATCGTGCAGTTTGCATCTTCTCCATTGAACACCCATATCTCAGCGGTGGTATTTCCTTTTCATTATACTTAAAAGGGGTTCAGCTGGTGGCACTAAATCACAATAGCCAACATCCTCCTTGTCAGCAAAATAGTCAACACCACTCGAAAACGCATGCATATCGATATTCGATTCGCCATCCACATATAGCTTTTTCAATTCAAGACGGCCTAAGAAACCCGCAACAACGTCCGCCGTACAAGCATCATCATCGCAGGGCCTTATTACTCGGGAATACGCATCAAGAACCTCGTAATACAAAGCGAACTTGATATTAGTTGGCTCCATAAACTCAAAATCATATATCCCACCCACTTTCTTCATCAGATCCCGACAAAAATGCAGACCATAACGCGCCACAAACATAGCTGATAGCTGTGAACTTCAAAACACCAAGCTGCTTGAGTGTGATCCTGCCCAATCCAAATAGAAATTTATAGGTACGTCTTCGCCTGAGAGGTACAACACCTTGCCTCTGAACAGGGCATGGAATTCTCAGTGGAGGCTGCGTATGTGTTTGCCGGTTAATCATCACTGAAGGGTGTTCAGGTTCTGACATGACAGCAGAATACTGGACATTTTCCATGTGAGCAAGACAGTCAACACCAAACACAAAAGCATGCAAATCAATCATAGCCGCCTCCTCTTCCAGCCTCTCCAACTGAACAAGGTTAAAAAAATCCTCAAGAACGGTCTTTCTACAAGCATCACTCTTCTTCAGCTTTTTGGAACGCTTTAATACACTGGAATACGCAGCACCAAGTCCTTCATAAAAAGTGTACAGGCTATCATAATGCAGCAAGAAATTAAACCATGGGTTCATCATCACTCTCTCCATTAAATCATAGAAAAAAACGGACCCAAATCGCACCTCAAACTGCACTGTGAGCTTAATAATAAGAAGCTGCTTGAGTGAAATACCCGTTGGAGGGACTCTAAATGATAGGGGCTGGTGTATTGGAGGCGGAAGACTTAAATAGTCACCAAGACATTGATATTGATCACTAAAACGCTGAAATCCAAGTGGAAGCTGCACAAGCATATCAGGCTTCATCATCACTGAAAAGCGTTCAGGCGGTGGCATGATAGCAGAAAAAGCAGCAACACCTATGTGAGAAAAACAGTCAACACCAAACACAAAAGCATGTAAATCAATCATAGCCGCCTCCACTTCCCCATCCAGCTTCTTCTTCAGCTGAAGAAGGTAAAAAAAAAGATCAAGAACGGCTTCCATACGAGCAACATTACGCTTCCTCAGCTCTTTGGAAGGCAGTAATACTCTTTCATACGCCTTGACAAGCACATAGAAAATATTGAACCTGATTTCAGTTGGATCCATAGACTCAAGCTGGGGGCTCAGGGAAACCCGGCGGAAAAACAGAAACTCAAACAGAGGGTTCGTAAGCACTCTCATCATCAAAGCCCGACGAAAAGAATTCCCATAACGCACCTCAAACATTGCTGTGAGCTTAATAATACAAAGCTCCTTGAGTGGGATCCTTATAGGAGGAGGCCCAAGATTGGTTTCATGAGTAGCTGAAGCATCAGGTTGGATATCCTGAGCTCCACACTGATTACGAGTAAGCTGAGAAACCCGTCGAGGATGAAAATACATAATAATGATAGGGGAGCACAGGTGATAATGATCGTTGGTGGCAAAAATGTCAACACCGGCCAAAAAAGCAAGCAAATCCGTCTCCAGTTCCTCCTCCAGCTTGTCAAATTGAACAAGGTCGAGAAAAGCACTCAGAGCGGAAGCCATAATAGAAGAATCAGTGCAAGGTACTACTACTCTTTTATACAACTTAACAAAGTGTTTATAACTGAAGCTTTCATTATCTCGTTTCATAAAGTCAAAGAGAGGGTTCTTACCCACTTTTTCTATCAAATCCATACCAAAAGACCAGCCATACCGGGCAACAAACAGCGCTGATAGCCTAGTAACACAATAGGTGAATGCAGGTGTTAAGGTTTAACGCAATCGAATGAACCAAACACAAAACCCAGAGAGATGATCAATAACTCAAAACCCAGAGAATCAATATAACTTTCCGATCGATTTGAATAACGAAGTTTACAAATCGATAAACCAGAAAATCAACAATCAATCCGCAACAACAAGTTACGAATCAATCTCCGAGGTCGATCTCACACAGATCTTCCCTCACAAGCACGCAGGCTCGTCACACACACACAATCACAATAAAAGCATGAGAAAAGATAGATACAGAGCAACGGCTCTTTTATAGACGTTTGACAAAACGAACCCTCCACTTCATTCCAAGGCTTTGCTTCACGACTCATTTATTGCCACGTCATCTGTCTTCTTCTTCTTATTCCTCCGATAGTAGCCTTGATGGATCGTATCAATACACCCCCCCTGAAAAACAAGCTTGTCCTCAAGCTTGAAGGATGGGTATTGTTGGACGAAGTCTTTAGATAGCATCCATGAGTTTGGAACATCCGGAAACCCAGACCACTGAACCAAGACCTCGCGACCACCCGTAGCATTGTGTTGCATATCCAAGATCGTCGCAGGCAGTAACACGGAATCCTCTGCATCCGTAAGAGCTGGTAAGTCTGTTTGGAGCTGGTGATGAGACCCCAAGGATGCTTTCAACTGCGAAACATGGAACACTGGATGGATAGCCGCCGCTGGAGGAAGCTTTAGGCGGTAAGCCACCTTCCCAATTCTCTCACTAACCTCAAAGGGACCAAAAAATTTGGCAGCCAGTTTCTGACAGACCCGGCGAGTCACAGACTGTTGCCGATACGGTTGGAGTTTCAAGTAAACCCAATCCCCTACTGCAAACTCCACTTCTCTGCGTTTCAAGTCCGCACTGCGCTTCATCAACTGTTGTGCTCGTTCCAAATTCACCTTAATCTTGGCCAACATTGCATCTCTTTCTTGCAACTGAGCTGCCAGAGTAGTGTTGGCAGTAGAACCCTGCTCAAAATGGAGGACAGTAGGAGGGTCTCTCCCATAAACCACCTGGAAGGGTGATGTCTTCAGGGCAGAATGATAGGATGTATTGTAAGAAAATTCCGCCCAAGCCAGGTACTTAGCCCATGTGCGTGGGTGTTGAGAAGCAAAACAGCGCAAATAAGACTCCAAGCAACGGTTAAGCACTTCCGTCTGACCATCGGATTGGGGATGATATGCTGTACTGTACTGCAGCTTGGTCCCAGCCAGTTTAAACAACTCCTTCCACATAGAACTCAAAAACACTCTGTCACGGTCAGACACCAAAGTCTTTGGGAAGCCATGAAGACGAACCACTTCAGTGACAAACTTATGAGCAACATCAGAAGCTGAAAAAGGATGTGATAGCCCCACGAAATGTGCACACTTGCTGAAACGGTCAACCACTACCAGAATAGCATTGACACCTCCAGATTTGGGCAGCCCCTCAATAAAATCCAATGATAAGTCTTCCCAAACTCGGTCTGGAATGGGAAGAGGTTGTAACAACCCTGCAGGTGACAAAGTAGTTGATTTGTGTGTCTGGCAAACCTCACATTCTGATACATGTTTCTGAACATCCTTCTGTAACCCTTCCCAGTGAAACATAGTTTGAATCCGTTTCTTTGTCTTCAAAATACCCGCATGACCCCCAAGCTTACTGTCATGATACTCTTGTAATAGTAATGGAATGAATTTAGACTGTTTAGAGATAACCAGACGTTTCTTGTACCAAAGTTTACCCTGTTGCACTTGATGATTCACATATTTGTCTGGATTGGTTTGCACCAAAGCAATCTGAGCTTGTATGGTGGCATCCTCCTCAATCTCTTTGTAGATGTCTTGTAGTTGTAGCACTGCTGGAACAGTGAGTGCTAGCAATGACAGAGAAGAACACAACACTGGCTGAGGCATCCGAGACAACCCATCAGCAGCCTTGTTTTCAACCCCAGGCTTGTAAAAAATCTCCATATCAAACCCCAACAATTTGGTTAACCATCTCTGATACTCCATACTTACTTCCTTCTGCTCCAGTAAATATTTGAGGCTCCTTTGATCTGTATGAACGACAAAACACCTGCCAATGAGATAGTGTTTCCATTTCAAGACGGCTAGCACAATGGCCATTAGTTCTCTTTCATAGGCTGGCTTGAGTTGCTCCCTGGGTGTCAAACCATGACTGAAGTATGCCAGAGGTCTGCCTGCCTGCATCAACACCGCCCCCACTCCCACACCAGAGGCGTCAGTCTCCACTACAAATTTTTGAGAAAAATCAGGCAAACCAAGCACTGGAGCAGACACCATGGCAACTTTGAGCTTCTCAAACGCTTGTTGAGCTGTAGGAGTCCACTCAAACTGGTCTTTGCGTAACAAGTCAGTCAATGGCTTAGCAATGACCCCATACCCCTGAACAAACTTTCTGTAATACCCTGTCAGGCCTAAAAACCCTCTGAGTTGTTTCACATTAGTTGGTGTTGGCCACAATCGCATAGCTTCGGTTTTGGTGGAATCTGTAGCCACACCCTGCCGAGAAATAATATGTCCCAAGTACTCAACATGTGAGACACCAAAAGAGCATTTCTTCTTGTTGGCAAATAACACATGCTTCTCCAGTAACTGCAGCACCAACCGGAGATGCTCCACATGAGAAGTGAGGTTGTTACTGAAGACCAAGATATCATCAAAAAAAAACCAAAACAAACTTCCGGAGAAATGGTTTGAAAATCTTGTTCATGAGTGCCTGAAAGGTAGCTGGTGCGTTTGTCAAACCAAAAGGCATCACAAGAAATTCATAGTGCCCCTCAAGTGTTCTGAAAGCTGTTTTCTCCACATCTTGCGGCTTCATCCTTATTTGATGATACCCGGATCGCAAATCAAGCTTGGAAAAAATAGTAGACCCATTCAGTTCATCCAACAACTGGTCAATAACCGGAATAGGAAACTTATCCGGGACTGTCACTTTGTTGAGGGCTCTGTAATCAACACAAAATCGCCAAGAGCCGTCTTTCTTCTTGACCAATAACACAGGGCTGGAGAAAGGACTGGTGCTAGGTTGTATGATCCCAGAAGTCAGCATATCCCCTACCAATGACTCCATTACTTCTTTCCTGGCATGAGGATAACGGTAGGGCCTGACATAGATAGAAGTGACACCAGGATAAAGAGTGATTGCATGCTCCTGACCACGCAATGGTGGTAACCCAGAAGGCAAAGCAAACACAAAAGGAAACTGATGCAACAACTCATCTACTGCAGGAGGTACCAAAGAAACAGGGGCTGGAGGCTCACTCCCCTTCAGCACAGCCAACTGAGTCTTAGTATGTCCAACAGCAGGAGGTGCACCTAACCTTTTCAAAGACAGGGGAGACCTATGTAAAGTAGGATCTCCATGCAAGAGTACTGGTTCCCCATTATACATAAATCGCCATTCCTGCAATTTCCAGTCTACTTCACATTTTCCCAATGTTTCCAGCCATTGAACTCCAAGAATAACATCAACACTCCCCAACTCCAGTGTGATGAAATCATTTGTGAATCCAACGCCAGACAACTGAAAATGTACTCCTTTACAAACCCCTAACCCCTGAACAATAGCTCCATTTCCCAACAGGATATCCAAACTTGCATCAGGTGTAACTTGCAGTTTCAATTTTTGAGCCAAAGCAGGAGTAAGGAAATTGTGGGAAGCCCCACAATCAATCATGAGAATTACCCTGTGCTTACCAATCCATCCCACCAACTTGGTAGTCCGGGGAGAATGCAACCCCATGAAAGAATTGAAAGACAAAGTCTTCAACTCAGTGACAGGTGCCATATCCAACACCCCTTCTTCTTCAGTGCACTCGATCATATTCTCCTCCAACACTTCTAATTCATAACCATTAACCACTGTCATCACACGCAACTCACGCATAGGACATTCATGCCCTCTGAAATACTTGCCCTTGCATTTAAAACAAAGGCCCTTACTGCGCATAGCATCCAACTCTGCATCATTATGGCGTATACGCGGACGACCCAGAGGCTTTGGACTGCTCTCTGGAGACTTCCCAATATAAGAACTTTGAGGAATCCCTACTGGTTTAGGAGCATTGGAAGTAAACACTGGCCGTGCAGGTGGAGGAATAGGCTGACTTTGTTGCTTCTTTCCTTCACCAGTTTCACCAACCAATTTGCAAAAAGAGCTTGATTCCATTTTCAACACCGCTGTAATGTGATTTGGAAGTCCCTTAGGTTCTTTCATTTTGATCACCTCCTTCATCTCATGCTTAAGACCATTATAAAAAATTTTCTCCAAGTGTGTATCATCCAACCCCATCACTTGAGAAGATAAATCCTGAAATTCAGTGATGTATGCAGCCACTGATCCTACCTGTTTAATGGCAAATAGTCTATTCCCCGGTTCATCATCAATCGTACCCCCAAAATGAATCAACAAACGATTCTTAAACTCCTCCCAAGACCCAAAATCACGACGCGAAACCTCCCAGTTAAACCATTTCAACACATCCCCTTCCAAACTTAAGGAAACCAAATCCAACCTAGCCGCATCGCTAAAACGACCCACCCGAAAAAAACGCTCCACCTGTGAAATCCAAGCATACGGCTGCGATCCAGTAAACACAGGCATCTTAATTTTTTTTAACAGATTTTCGCGAGTTTCCAGAGGTAACCCCGATGATCGAGTTTCCGACGAGTGGAGATCAGGAAGAATCTGACCCGAAAACGACTGTCGGGAAGGCTCACCATCATCAACGTGTTTTCCAGCTCGAATCTCCAAACGATCCAACGTTTTCACCACCGATTTGAGCAACTCTTCCAACGACACAAGCTTAGACTCCGTCTCCACCTTCGCTTCACACAAACCCTGAAAACCCAAACGCAAATTCCTCATCTGCACATATATTGCATCAGAAGAACCCGTATCTTCTTCAAACACATCAGATCCATCGCGATCCATGATCAACACACGTAACGAACCAGTTTCACCGCACCAATG